AAAAAAAAATCGTCCCAGTAAAAAAAAGGCATATCACAGTGCACGAAGCTCCCACAAAGAGGGTGGATGAATGTAGTATTATTCTTGCATTTGTAGAATGACCAGTTCCATAAAGAAAAAATTATAAATAAATAAATTGTATAAATACTATAATCCTTAACGTATCATTTGCAATATTTGCAATTTCAAGAATGTAAAGTCCAGATATACGCTTAGAATAGTGCTTGCATGATGAATAGATTGCATAACAAGGTGACATGTAAATTGTAAATTTTAAATAGGCATATCAAAAATTCAGTTGCTTCTCCCAATTATTTGTATGACTTTTGATCCGTAACCATATATTCCATCAAATATTTCGCTTTGCGTGCTAGTGCAAAAAACACCATTTGTTGGTCATTCATGTTACAGTGACGATGATGATGAGGGCTGAGGATGTAACTTTAACGAATTAAATAAATTGTCAATCAATACTTACCCTAGTGCGCTTTCTTACAAATGAAACCTCATCATTGGCATCCGTCTCAAGGAAGGGATCACCCTTGGGGCAACGCTCCAGGTAATGTGCATGTACAAGCTTATTGAATGTAGCAAGCACGTCATCTCTTTTTGCTTTGCCTGAATAAAAATATTAAAGACAAAACAAGCAAGATTTATCATGCATGGTACTTGTAACTCAAGAGTTGAGAATCAAATCAATTTGACAATTTGAATGAAATAACCAGGATTGCATTAAAATTATGAAAGTGATATTCATTGACAATTCACACCTCCACTTAGGCCTGATGCTCGGTCGTAAAGCAACTCAAAAGTCAGCCTGCCATGCTGAAGAAACCCCTCTAGAAGTTCTGCACACTGCAATACATTGTCACAGATTTACCAAATAAAAAATGGTGGAAGAAAACCGGGTGGGAATTATACAAACTCAGAAGATAGGCACGACTGCTTTTCCTTACACTTATTTTCCTTCACAACTAGGGCTTCATTCTAATGAAATGATGTATTGGATGAAAGTTAGCAAAAGTAGTAAATCCCATATCACAAATATGATAATGAACCCACGTAGAAAATTTAAAAAAAAAACAACAATTTTAGGTTTATAATGTATCTTCAACAAGAATTATTCCCTCTAACAAAATCACTCCTATCTCAGGTCATTCGAATAGTTCGTCAGGAGGTTTAATAGATTGAAGATTGGTAGGGTTCCTGGTGCCAAGAATCAAAATGGCCCTTTGATGATTAATGATGTTTCTGCTCCAAATTTGTCAAAGATTTCCATCAATTCTTCTTTTCCAAGTTCTTCTTTGCCTGGTAATCGGAGAAGGAATGTAAGAGAATCTCCTTTGGTGATCAAGGATGTGTTAGACCGGTCCAGTGGACCGGTCCAGCCAGTCCACACGGGATCGACCCAGACGCAACCTAGGAGGAATTTTTTCGCCCGCTAGGATGCCACGCGAGCCGCACGCCGTGCGGGAGCCAATAGGAAAGAATTTTGGAGTAATTAAGAGGGAAATTTGAATGTAGGGATTGTTTAGGGAATTCCTTTTGATTTGTATGCATTAAATAATTAGTTTTCCTAGGGTTAGGGCATCTTGAATTTGGCTCAAATTTGAGATCTCTTAGATTACGGTTTTCTTTGGGGCTCTAGCGGCGTCTAGAGATTTGGGAGAGATCGATCCTCCTCTCGAATTGAGGATCAAGTGTATCTTGCTATTTTCCGTGTTCCGTTCATCAAATAATACAAATTATCTACTGTTTTGGTGATTTTGTGTGGATTATTGTGGAGAAAACTCACTGTTTTTCGAAGATTGATAGAAAATACTTGAGATCTTCAAGTGTTTCCTATCAGGATGTTTCTGTTCCATCAGTCAAGAAAGATGAATTTTGTGATGGTAAAGGTAAGGAAGTTGCTTCGGTTGGAGTTTTTAGAAGCCCTTGTTTTTCTGATGGAGTCAAGAGCAAGATGGAGGATTTCACATGTGCTAATGATGCAGAGGCCTCTTATTCTTCGTGTATGAAGATCTTTGTTAATAGGTTTGAAAATTTGAATGTGTCTACTTGGTTGAAGGATGATAAAAAATCAAATGTTATAGGTGATGAAGTTCAAATATCTAATGGTTTATTTTTTTCAAAAATCTGACAATCATTTGTCTGATAATTGTCAATTGGGCTCAGAAATTATTAAGGATAATAATGTTGTTGGAAAAAATGAGAACAGACCAGTTGCTTATGTATCTTTGGCACAGGGAGAGTTACCAAAAGCCTGGGTTAAACATCCTCATATTAAAGTTGTTAATCCTATGTTTGATTCGTTGATAATTGATGACGGGATAGCAGTTAAACTTCAGGCGGAGAATGAGTGGGCTAATACTCATAGATTGAAGAATACTTTGGTAGTGAAAGTTCTTGGTCAAAATATTCCTTTTCCGTTGATTAGCACTGAATTAAGATGTCAGTGGAATCAATTTGGATGTTTCCATCTAACTGTTCTTGGTTTAGATTGGGTTCTATGCTCCTTTGAACCTGTACAAGCTTTGGAAGAAGTATTTAGTGGAGGATCTGGTCTGTAGGCGGGCACATTATAGGGATGGAGAAATGGTCGCCAAAATTCACACCTTTATGTATAAAGGGAATGTTTTAACCTGTGTGGATTTGAATGCCCCATCTCCCATTGCAATGTTGGGATGAAATAAATGTTACTAGAATAGCATCAAAGGTTGGTACTCCATTATTGTTAGAAGGTAACATGTTTCAATGGGGAAAGAGGGAATATGCTGGAGTATCAGCTACCTTTGGGTGTTTGGGTAGAAGGCCTCTCTGCACGGTTTTTCCAGATAATTGAATATGAAAATATATCTTCTTTTTGCTTTAAGTGTGGTAGAATTGGGCACAATCAGAACAATTGTTTGAAAATCAAGTCAGATAATGGGAAAGTTTCGAATGATGTTGAAAATGCCAAAAATGATGCAGAAGGTGCTGAAGTTGCAATTCCTAAAGATATGTCACATAATAATTCAGCTGATCATTCTACCAAATATGTCAATGGATTCATGTCAAGTATGGTAGGAATAAATTCAAGGCTTCCGGTTGGAATTCTTAACAAGGAGGATTTCAGAAAAATCTTAAAGATAAATCAAACAATATATTGAAGACTATCCATAATGGTATTGCTGATAAAGGAAACATGTTGGAAACAAATCCATTTTCCAAATGTATGAATAAAGATTATGAAGGTATTATGATGTAGAACTAAATGCAGGGAGAATTATGCGATGTTGAAATTAACGCCTTAGATTAGAGCAACAATGATTAGTTTACTTTAGCGAACTAAACAGAGATCAAAACAATAAAAGAGGTGACGTATTTTAGACTAAATTACACAATAATCGTTTAGGAACACAAAGAAAAATCTTTTTAAATCAAGCTTTGCAATACATGAAGTTCTCAAATAGAATCCCAAGGTTAACATTTAGATTAGTCACTATGAAAGACCCTCACTCAACTCTTAATAAATTTGGCTTGCGGAGAAAGTCTTCATGACCTTTATGATGCAACAATCAAGGATGAGTAAGTAGGTATAAGGTAAGGGGAAGAGTTTACCCAAAAAAAGAAGATACGAAGCTTTGGTGTAGATGATTTGGGGTGCAATTGAAGAGAAGGCAGCGACACGAACCTGTATTCAAAGTCTTGAATAGCAATTTAGCACCATTAAGACCTATGAACAGCACTTGGATAGGTTCCGGACGGATGGACAGCAAACTGGCTTCGTCTGGAGATTGGGACAGCAAGCCAAAACACTCAGAAAATTCTGGACAGCAGCTTTCAAACATCCAGGAAATCTGGACAGCAGTTTAGGGATGTCAAATCCTTGGAGTAGAAGCTATTTGGGGAAAAGAACACCAAGCGGTTGTCTTGTAGAAGCAAAGGACAGCAATTAGCAATATGGAGAGAGGGTCGTTTTAGGGGGTTTGAGCCATCCATGGGCAGGGGAAATTGTTATCCATTGAGAGGGATTGAAAGTTTGGAGTTTGAAATTCAAATAACAAGAGGGAAAGGAAAGGCTCTCTTTCGGATGAGAGAGTTAATTAGGTGATGCAGGACATAAATGCAAAGATGATTGGAATACGAAATTTGCACGTTTTAAATTTAGAGAATAATAATAAGCAAAACTTTTGTCGATTTTAAACGATAAGACAAAACCATAAGGCGATAAAACAAGCTTAGGCCAAATCACATGCGTAGGAGTTAAGATCCTAAAATAGTCAATTAATCTAACGTTGCATACATGGAAGGTTTTCAATAAAATTCCTATGCTAATAATAAGATTAGTCACTATGCAAAGATCCCTCACGTAACTCTATAATTCACTAGGCTTTTAACGGAGAAAATTATCATGATCGTTGTAAATCAAACTAAAACCACAATTGAAAAGTGACTGAGAAGATAGCCGAGTTGGAGGAAGAGTTTACCCAAAGCAGAAGCAATACGATGCTCTGGTGCAGACGTTTGGGTGTTTGAAAGGTAGTAAGACAGCAGTTCACAACTCCTAGCTGCCCTAGGATAGCAATTTGATGATCTCGGGATGCGGAACAACAAACTAATCTCGGCTGGCATTTTTGGGCAGCACCCTGAATCTTATGGGCAGCACACAGTGATCTCTGAGTAGCGGGAAACTTCCCAACACTGTCCATAAATTCTGGACAGCAATGAGACAACCCTAGTGCTAGGGTTTGGGATGACTTTGGGAGCAAGGAGGGGATGGGAAGGTGATGGCCAGACAATGAAAGAGAGAAATCTGAAATTAGATTTCTAATTTGGCCAAGTAAAGATGGGGTATATGAAATTTGAATTTCAAATAAATAATGAAGGGAATTAATAAAATATTTCCCCTAATTAATCCCTTAATTTGGAAAGGATTTATTGGGGATTTGAAGAGAGGAAGGAGGTGGGTAGGAGAGGGAAAAAACTTTGAAGTTTTCCCAAAGAGAGAGACTTGATGCTTGGAAAGTATTCAAGTAGGTGGCATGCATGGGGCCGGCGGCATGTATGGTTTTGGGGGGCTTGGGGAGGAGTTATGGCTTACCAAATCAAGACCCTTTAATTGAGAAAGAGAAATTAAATCCAACTCAATTTGAATTTGATTTGGGGTTAATTTATGGGACTTTCCTAAAATAGATTTCTATTTTAGGAAATATTTCAAATTCAAGATAGATTGAAAATTTGAAATTAAGGCTCTCCAAAGTGGGAGCTATGCAAAAGGAAGTATTGATGAGGTGTGAGATGTGGAGGGAAGGGAATTAGGGTTTGGAGGGTGTCGGCTAGGGCTTGGCTTGCTAAGGTCAGTGATTATAGAGGTAGGGGATGAGGGGCTGGCCGAAATAAGGAGGTGGGGAATGTAGGAGTGGTGGTTTGGTGGTGGAGGGCTTAGGGTGGCCGGCGGCATGTATGGTGGTTTAGGGTGGCCGGCGGCTAGGATAAGAGGGGAATAAGAGAAGGAAAAGATAGGAAGAAAATAATCACGAACCCGGACGCTTCCAAGGTTGGTGGGTGATCCGATTACTCTCTCCTAGGGATTTCTTCTCCAAAGAGCCTCAAGCTCTCACAAGAACTCAATATGCATAAATTTTTATAATTCATTCGTTAATCTCAAAAGAAATATATGGAGCGTATATATAACCTCCTACAATTAAAGGGAAATAAAAGACGATATTACCCCTAGGGCATACATATGACAAAGCCCTCAAGTAAAGGCAAAACGGGAAAAGCTACTAAAACAAATACATAAAGTAAATAAATAAAACAAATACGTATGATGACTCAAAAGTAGATCGGCGCGATCATGGCCGTCGATTGTC